ATGTGTGGCTTGAGAATGAACAGCACAAGAGAAACTAATTGGTAAGGTATGAATTTATGAGGTACCTAGCAATCTGGCAGGCTGTTGGTATTTTACTAAGTTTGTGGACGGAAAATACCCAAGAAGCCTTACTAAATGATGTTGCTATGCTGCAGCACTGTTGCCAGATCCCTCACCATAAGAATGAAACATTTTGTTTACTTCCTTGCCCCTTGGATTTCAAAGATTTCTTGATTCTTTAGGCACTCCTGATACTCTGTTGCACCCTCAGCTAGGTCTCTCAAAATTCCCCTATCTTTGAGAGATTGCTTTTCAGGCTAATTTCACCCCCTGCCAAAATAGGGTCAATAGCCTCTGATCTGACTGACCTTGTTTTTGGCCAAGAATCCAAGAGATTTTGGTGGTCTAAGGATATGCAACTAGTGCACATTTCTTTCAAGTTCCATGCAGGTGATTTTACTTCTCCTTTTAATATATTTTTTTTATAGTTGCAATTTCTTTTGTGTCAGTACCTGCTGAATTATTGGGGCCAGAGGTTTTTGTTATGCAATCCTTCTCTAGGGACATGACATGGCCTCTGCTGCCTGTTTGGTAAGTGCATGTTGAGAGCTAATCTATAGTACACACAAATCCACCTCTCTCCCTGGCTGCAAAGAAGGAAACTTCACTTAGATTCTGATCACGCATGAGAGAGAGAATGTCTGTTCAGTTCTTGCCATTGTCTTGAGTCCCATTTTCCTTGGTGATTCTAGTCCTCTCCCTCCCCCCACTGTCATCAGGGCCAATGCATCTGGAAAAGGAGTGTAAAATTTTGGGAAACACACCTTTCCAGGTATCAAGTTTTGTAAAGATTTTTCAGTAAGTGTGTGATGAAGGAGCCTACTCATGGCTGGTCACCATACTGGCCACCCCTCCATCTATGGCAGTCTGTCCAGTCTTGTCTGCCATGACTTGCTGAGATATACATGATGTAATAAACAGGAGGCTGCCCATTTAATGCCCTGATGCCATGGGGTGTACATATGGCTCCGACCTCCCCTTACCGGGTCCCATGCCTCACAGATGGCATCCAAAATTGTAGTAGCTCCATCCAGAAGCTGGGCCAACCTCAGCCCTTGCTGGGCCTTTCACAGTCTACACATACACCCCGCCCCCTCTCACAGGGCCTCATTCACTCCGCCCCCTCTCACAGGGCCTTTCACATCATTTTTCATTGGGCCACTCTCAACTGCCCTGTTCATTTGAGGGCCTTTGGGCCATCAGGCTTGCCTACTTACACTCTGGGAGATCCGCCCACAGCCATTCAGGTGCCCCATGCATCCTACTCTATGGGTGATGGTCCTTATGCCTAACACTAGGCTGACTTTTGCCACTAGCCCCTCTCTGGGCACTTGACTCTTCCTAATGCTCTTTTGAGGTTGGCCCATGTGCAATCCTTTAGGTCTACCTCAGCTATACATACCCCAAGGTAGCCCTCCAGGCCTGGCTCGGCAAGCCCTACTCTATGCCTGTACATATAGTCCTTCAGGCCTGCCTCAGCAAATCCTACTCTGTGTGGGCCTCTCTGCATAATCCTGCCCCCCTTCCTGGGGCCACTCTTTACCCCCTCACTGGAGCCAACTCTATACCCCCTTCCTAGGGCTTGGGGTCTTACATCCCCAGGGGCTCAGGTGCCTCTCCCCAGGCATGCCTGGCCCCACTGTCTGTTCTATAACCACTGGGTAGTGGGGCTAGGGTTAAAAGGTGCCCTTACCCACCTTTCACTGGGGAGGCAACTGGCCTGGCATTTCTGGGGAGCTACCCTGACACATACAGCCCCACCAGGCTGTCATTCCCCAGCAGGGTGCAATTTTAAATCATACCTAGGACCAGGAGCTTCCTACCATCCCCATAGCTCCTGTCCTTACCTCCAAGGTATTCCTGAGCAGCTACTCAGCTGGGTGGTGTCTCTTCAGCTGCCAGCAGCAAACTGCTGGCTCAGCTGTGAGGGTCTGAGCTAAAATGGAGTCTGCTCAGCTCTCTCCTCCAATCACATGGTCCTCACAGGGTCATATCAGGGCTGGCCTGCACCTGCCAGCTTCCCTGCTGCCACTCAAAGCCCTTAAAGTGACAGGCACTGAAGGTGCTCTGTCACAAAGTGTTTATGTGAACAGCTAAGGTTTTCGTATGTTATCTTTACAACACTTACAATTTTGCTAATTACTAGAAGGCTACTTTTACTAAAGGTGTCACCTGCAGGGTTTCTTGACTACATGGTTTCTAATCCATGAAGTCCCAAGCACAACTTTTTCTATCTGAGTGCTATAATAGTATTTAAAACTTTACTTTTTCCTGGAAAGAAGGGGTATCTCCTGAAGGGTGTCTTGACTACATGGCTTCTGATCCATTGTGCACTGGTTTTAACAGGTGTCATGATCTCTTAAGCAGCTCCCCCACAGCCAGAAGAATACTTGCCACCTTACTGGCTACGTGTGAAGAACTTTCTAAGTACAGCTTGCTGTTGGGTATCATTTTCCATGGAGTATCCCTACCCTGTCCTGGAACATTGGAGGGTGTCATCAGTAACTGTTCTCCCTGTCCTCCATTAAGAACTCCATGTCAACTGCTACGAACTCCATATGCTATTGTCTTGTTTTGTTGCTTTGTCCACTGTGTGGGAGTTCAGTGACTTGATAGTGACTGATCCTTGGCTTCTCCCTTTCACTCTGGGTTGTTTCCCTTAATGTTCATCTGCTACGCCTTGATGTTCAAAGGAAAAAACGGAGAATAAGGGGAGGTAAGGTGTTTGCTACCGTTAGTGGTTGGGGTTGAGGTGAGATCTTTCTTCACAGGGCCCTTACACCCTGCCCTTACCACACCTATGCAGGCACCAATGTGTAGCCTATCTCAGGGTCTCCTCTCCCTGCTGGCAGTGTATTGAAGCCTAGTAAACAGCTAGTTGTTCACACAGTAATTACCTGAATTTACCCCTACTTCAATTGGGTGGGAGTCATTGATGAAGACACTGAACAGAACTGGGCCCAGGACCAAGCTCTGGGGGACTCCACCTGATACCAGCTGACAACTAGACATTGAGCCATTGATTACTACTCTCTGAGCCCAATGCTCCAGCCAGTTTTCTATCCACCTTACAGTCCATTCATCCAGCCAGTCCATACTTCCTTAGCTTGTCTGCAAGAATGCTGTGGGAGACTGTATCAAAAGCCTTGCTAAAACCAAGGTATACCACATCTACCTGTCTCCCCACATCCACAAAGACCGTCATCTCATCATACAAGGTAATCAGGTTGGTTAGGCATATTTGCCAGTAGTGAATCCATGTTGACTGTTCCTAATCACTCTTTTCTCCTCCAGGTGCTTACAAATGGATTCCTTGAGGATCTGCTCCATGATTTTTCCAGGGACTGAAGTGAGGCTGACTGGTCTGTAGTTTCGTGGATCCTCCTTTTCCCCTATCGTAAATATAGGCACTGTATTTGTCCATTTCCAATCATCCGGGACCTCTCCTGATCACCATGAGTTTTCAAAGATGATGGCCAATGGCTCTGCAATCACATCACCCAACTCCCTCAGCACCCTTGGGTGCATCCCATCAGGCCCCATGAACTAGTATATGTCCACCTTTTCTAAATAGCCCTAACCTGTTCTTTTACCACGAACGGCTACTCACCTCCTCTTCAAATTGTGCTGCCCAGTGTAGTAATCTGGGAGTTGCCCTTGCCTGTGGCAAGCAGGGTTTTTATAAGTATGTTGGTAGCAAGAGGAGGATCAGGGAAAGTGTGGGTCCCTTACTGAATGGGGGAGGCAACCTTGTGACAGAGGTGGCAAAAAAGGCATTGAGTACTTCCGCCTTTTCTGCATCCTTACTTTGCTGCTCTCCATCCTTTCTTTCCCCAGGATCCTAAATTCAATCATCTTGTGGTCACTGCTGTTCTATAACCACTAAAAGATGCCCAAGTTTCCATCTGCTACTACATTCCCCATCAATTTTTCCCTGTTTGTGAGCAGCAGGTCAAGAAGAGCATGGTCCCTAGTTGGCTACTCCAACACTGCACCAGGAGGTTGTCCCAATCACTCTCCAAAAACTTCCTGGATTGTCTGCAAACTGCTGTATTGCCCTCCCGGGAGATGTCAGGGTGATTGAAGTCCCCCAGGAGACCCAGGGCCTGTGATCGGGAAACTTCTGCTAGCTGTTTGAAGAAAGCCTCATCCATCACTTCCTTCTGGTCTGATGGTCTACAGCAGACACCCACTACAACATCACCCTTGTTGCTTTCCCCTCTAGCCTTAACCCAGAGACCCTCAACAGGACTATCTTCAGTTCCATACTGGAGCTCTGAACAATCATATGGCTCTTTTACATAAAGTGCAACTCCACCTCCTCTTCTCCTCTGCCTGTCTTTCCTGAACAGTTTGTACCTATCCATATACAGTGCCCCAATCATGTGAGCTATCCCACTAAGTCTCTGTTATTCCAGTCATGTCATAATTCCATTACTGTGCAAGGACTTGCAATTCTTTTTGCTTGTTTCCAGGTCTACAGTCTATCATAACTACAGTCAGGAGTGAATTTCTGAATGGAATCCTGCTAGCTGGTCAAACTGGTACTTGTTCCGTGGTAGTTCAGGTCATTTTTGAGAATGTATTAGCAAAAAAGAGGCATGTCTGTAGGGTTAGGCTAACAACTTATTAATGCAATCCCTGGAATCACTTATTTGTATCTAGAGAAGTAATTTATGTATTCTTTATCTGTGTGGGTTCTAGGTTGTGGAATTCACAAGCTTTTTCCGGATAGAAGGGTCCAAAACACAAACATATTAAACAAATAATTCAATCACATCTTTTTTTTGCCAGGATATTCACAATTTTGCAATCGTCTTGCTATTAAATGGAAATTAACGATTACCTTTAGTATGGTTTAATAGTTTACAGATGTGGATTAAGAAGAGTATATAAATGAAGACTTTTT